CCCAATACACCACTCTATGTCTAGTTATCATGTTATATGCTCCCCAATACACCACTCTATGTCTAGTTACCATGTTATATGCTCCCCAATACACCACTCTGTCTAGTTACCATGTTATATGCTCCCCAATACACCACTCTATGTCTAGTTACCATGTTATATGTTCCCCAATACACCACTCTATGTCTAGTTACCATATTACTATGCTCCCCAATACACCACTCTATGTCTAGTTACCATGTTATATGCTCCCCAATACACCACAGTTCACAACATTATCATGATTTTATAAAACTATTCTTCTCTATGACAAAATGTTAAATAATCATATGAAATAAATGCCAGAGATACAGCTAGTGTAAAATACACAAACGATCAACACCAAATACTCAGTAATGAGCTAATGCTGTAGAAATGATATCACGCTAAAAATGAATGTACATCTAATGGGATGACTAAATCCTTATCACTTTTAGACAACTTTCATATTCCCAAATAAACCTGATCTGTTTTCAAACGTTCTAAATAAAAAATTCATACCACGTTCCCAAAGCTGAAGGCAACATTGGAGCACTTTGTCATCATTACAGGTAGGAGTAAGATTTGGTACAGTCTGTTGAGCCTAAAATTAATTGAAGAAGTTTTGATTTTCCTTTCTACAGCAAGAACTAGAAACACCGTAATAAAATGACTTAATGAATTCACGAGAAATCTTGGAACATAGTTATTATTCTGTATATTATCATATTGCATTGTATGTAAAAAAAAAAACTGTAGATTTCCTGCAGCTAAGAAAACAAACCACATATAATGGTTTTAACTACTTAGTATTATTATTAATCACACTCGTAACACAAAAGCAAATCACACATGAGAATTTTGGCTTTCTTAACTTACGGACTAAGAAACTGTACTCCAAGGGTTTGAAAACATTGTTTTTCAAAAATATATTAACCAATAATTCTGACTAACAGCTTACAAAAATATCTATACACCTGTGAATTCCTAGGTCAAAGTTCATGTAGTAATCTGAATGTTTTTCTGAAACTGATGATAACTGATTTCATACTAAGCAGTTCACTCATTCAACTTCTCAATACACGTGAATTTTATCTTCAAAAACTGGCATTCTCAAAAGGACAAACACATCAGCAACAAACAATAGTTTTTTGTACTTCTCTTACCTCTTTCAGTGATTGTCCACGCACTCTAGGGTGTTTTTTCCGCAGAATGGCATATATATATTTTATGGCCTTGATAGCCTTTCTCTGATTTTCCCACCCTGGGTTGATATCTTTATAGTGTAAATTTTACTAGCATCATATTGTATCAGACAGCTACATTACATGAATAAATGTAAGTTACACTATAAAGATATCAACCATTTTACTAGCATGATATCGTATCAGACAGCTACATTACATGAATAAATGTAAGTTACACTATAAAGATATCAACAACTCATAAGGATCAATTTAAATTGTTTACAACTGTATATTGCAGAAATAAGACTATACTTCCTTTATCAGATACAAACCTGGAAGAGATTTAATACAACCATCAGTTACAAATCAGGTAGAGATTTAATACAACCATCAGTTACAAATCTGGTAGAGATTTAATACAACCATCAGATACAAATCTGGTAGAGATTTAATACAACCATCAGATACAAAGCTGGTAGAGATTTAATACAACCATCAGATACAAATCTGGTAGAGATTTAATACAACCATCAGTTATAAATCAGGTAGAGATTTAATACAACCATCAGATACAAATCTGGTAGAGATTTAATACAATGATCAGTTACAAATCTGGTAGAGATTTAATACAATGATCAGTTACAAATCAGGTAGAGATTTAATACAATGATCAGTTACAAATCAGGTAGAGATTTAATACAATGATCAGATACAAATCTGGTAGAGATTTAATACAATGATCAGATACAAATCTGATAGAAATTTAATACAACGATCAGTTACAAATTAACTCCTCCACTATGGTGTCGGTCAATGTGACCAACCTTGTGACCACTAAATAACCATCTTAGTTGCAATAATAAAAGTTTTAATATTTTTGTGTATCTTCACAAAATTTGGCAAAAGCTCTCAGAAAAGCTCTAAATAAATATAATTTTTTTTCTTCAGTAAAACTTAATATTCTATCTGTTATTTTCTCCGTCTTAACTCTATACGGACTTGTTTGATTTGACCGACCTTGTACCCACCATAAAAAATATGAAATAAATCTAAATTATGCTTTTTTTTCTTTCTAGAACGAGGACAGATTGTATCAGGATACTACAATTGGTTATCCTAAGTAGCTTATAATAGTCTACATCTGTTTACACTTGATATTATTATTTTATTGCCCACTGAGCCATGTCTAATTAATAATCTTGTCACACAAGTTGTAAATCACTCAACAAATGCATGGACCCCCCATCACTGTATTGAATGAGGTAATGCACGAGCTGGTCGCAAGCATTACGTGTGAAGAATTTTTACTATTATTTATTTTCATTATATTATCTAACCTAATAAGTTTATAATTTTTAAATTGTTCTTATTCTATAATAATAATTAAAGAATATACATGAAAATCAAGAAATATAATACCTACCTTTGACTTCTTGATTTTTTTCTGTCGGTTGCCAATGAAAGTTAAGCCTACTTTTTTTTTTATACTAATGGTGCTTGTACATAAAATAACTTTTTTTTTACTTAAATAATTTGCCTAAGAATACACACAAAGCAAACAATGCCCTATAACTATCATAATGTAACTGGCTTTCTAACTATAGCCTTTAAATGATTCCCAAACTTGTCGATCTGAACACCACAAGAGAAACTTTCAAATTGAAGACAAGAGACAATACTTATACTCTACTAAAAACAAAATACGTCATTTGATAGATTAAAACTTTGCCTTTTTATTGGTTATAAACAATAAAGTAGAAAACATGACAGAACTATTGGCAACTTGTGAAAAAGAGGATGTGGCAAGTGAGTCCGATTTTCTAGTTTATGGCTCTGTATACAAATAAAATAAGGATTAGACATTGTCTTATTAATATCTATATTATATTGAATAACTTGTGTTAAATTCCATACTTCAGAAAGGGGTGGTAAATAAATTAGAGGAGGAAGAAGACAAAAGTCATAATTCAGATACTAGGGGAGAAAGAGGATTTTTTAAAATGTTTTCTTATAAAATTAAAAACCTAAAACTTCTATAATATTAAAATTTGATACTTAATCATTGAAGTGTCAATTCTAAGCCTTACTTCTTAATCTTGTAAAAACGTTTAAGTTACTGTTTTAGTTTTTTCACACTTTTCCCATAACTATGCTGAAGAATAAATCATAAATGTTATAATTAACAATCTTTGAGGTTTTCAAATTCAACTACATTGATAAATCTATTACTAAAATTTTCAACACAAGTTCTAATTAGCTGACTGGTGCTAAAAAAAAGTATGACAGAAAATAAATTCAATTCTGTTGTAAAAGTGTTTTATAACCGGCAACAAGCAGTAAAAGGATTAGAATCATATCTTACCAGAAATGTAAAAATATCATACTCACTCCTTGAGTTTGAGACCTGTTTCCTTTTAAACCATCGAGCTCCGCTACAACAACCCACGGTATCACTATGTTTGGAGGTCCTCGACCTGTAGGAGTACGATACTTAGAACCAATCTCAAACAAAATAATTCCTTCCTTCCAAACAGTGTATATTATATTGTAAAAAACAAAAGACTGCATAACGCAAGCCAGAAAAATATCAATAATAAACCCACCTTGTAAAGTTTGGTCCTTGAGTTCATCCAAAAAGTTCAGATCGGTCATAAGAATATTGGTATCCACAACAATGTAGTAGCCCTAATTTCATAAGATAAAATCATCATAGCATGAACAACAATTCCAAAACATTCAACTACACAAATAATTAAAGTTTGTAGCAAAAATTTAGTTGGTCGTTTCATATTAATCACACAAGAAATTATAAAGCATAAAAATATTTTGTCTAAAATACCTTTTGCACAATATAAACAGAAATTCTGTATAAAAATTAAATATGGACAAATGGGTGAATCAGTTAAGAACATAAACAATAACACATCAAAACACATATACATAGTTTATTTTAATTACTTATTTTCCTGAAAGGAGGCCAAAAGGTCACCTGGATGGGTCACCTGTTTTGACCACTGGCACCATTATAAAGTAATGTGTTGTCTGTCAATCAGTTAATAGACACTAACATGACATCACATAAGGGACACTTAACCTTGCAATTTGGACTGTTGTGCTGTTAGTAAAAGGTACGTATGCCATGAATCACAAGAAAAATTATTCATTCTGTAGGCTACAATGCAGCATGACATACAAACTTCAAAAGCAAGAACAATAAAATTATTTGTTACTCTTAATTTCAGTTATATTTACTTTTGAAACAGAACACTTTCGGGGACCCTGCACAAGTACACGCAGTAATTAACTTTATAACAATGTATTTTTTTTTTGTAGACTAGCCAATTAAAACATGTAAATTCGTTACCTCACTATTCACCTCACCAGGGGTATCAACTTCCATAGCTTCTTGGATAACTTCCAAAGGAGGAATGGATTTGTTCAACTGAATTAAACAAAAAATATAATATATTGTTAGCTTCTTAAAGTTATCTACCCCCCCTTCTGACTATTATTTATTCGAACTATCTTCTTTAACTTACAAAGTTCATGAACAAAAAAAGAGAGAGTAAAAACACAAAAATGAAAAAATTACATTAGCAATATCTTCGTTTTAGCTGGGGTATAAAAATCAACTAGCCCAACACCCAGAACTAAGTTTGGGCAACTGTGAATTTTGTATGTACTAGCCTAAAGGCTGGTGTAGTTCAGCTTGCATGTTGTGTAAAATTTAATTATCAAATCTTACAATAGTTACTTATTTTTAGGTTCAAATCATTAAATATCCACTGTCATTGTAATGTATGCAAGGTTGGTAGCCTGTTTGTGGATAAAAGACTAATCCATCGTAAATCTGATATATTTATAGCTATCTTTAAATCTAAGTGATTATATCACACTGGATTAAAATAGCTATCTTTAAATCTAAGTGATTATATCGCACTGGATTAAAATAGCTATCTTTAAATCTAAGTGATTATATCACACTGGATTAAAATAGCTATCTTTAAATCTAAGTGATTATATCACACTGGATTAAAATAGCTATCTTTAAATCTAAGTGATTATATCACACTGGATTAAAATAGCTATTTTTAAATCTAAGTGATTATATCACACTGGATTAGAATAGCTATCTTTAAATCTAAGTGATTATATTGCACTGGATTAAAATACCTATCTTTAAATCTAAGTGATTATATCACACTGGATTAGAGTAGCTATCTTTAAATCTAAGTGATTATATCACACTGGATTAAAATAGCTATCTTTAAATCTAAGTGATTATATCACACTGGATTAGAATAGCTGTCTTTAAATCTAAGTGATTATATCGCACTGGATTAAAATAGCTGTCTTTAAATCTAAGTGATTATATCGCACTGGATTAAAATAGCTGTA